ATTTGAGTGCAATAGAAATTAATACCCCCTAAAGTTGGGAGTGATGGGGAATAATCCAAAGTAGGGATTATTTTTAACGGACGAGGCAAAGTTCAGATTAATGAGAGCAATTTTTCCTAAAAAAAATGTTAAATTCAACCACTTGAGTAATCATGAAAAATAACATGTTCTTTAATGTATTTTTGTAAAACTTTTATTTTGAACTGGTCTTGTGATGTCTGAAATTTTATTTTTTTGGGACAAGTTTGGAAATGTGGTTTTATGCTTTAGTTGATTTTTTTACCGGCCCTAAAAGCCCGCATGACGCGACCATTTGGAGAGGGTTTGGGCACATTGCATAAATTCTAGCTCGAAACTTTGCCCGACCTGGCCCGAGAAGTGGGCAAATTTTTTGCTTTTGGCTCACCCAATAATCACCTCTAAGACTTTATGATCTTTGTATTGTCATGTTATTTGTCAAACACAAAAATGTTCTGTTATTAAATATAGGATTGTTTTTCAAACACATTCAACTACTTAAATAATCATAACCATGAAATTAAATGAACATGTTTATTTTGTAAAGACTTTTTGTTCTTTGAGGTATTTTTTTTCAAACAATAATATACTACTATTTATTTTGCCCATGTTATTTAAAATATGTCTGACCTGCAATTGTGCATTGTTCTATTTTCATTTAATTACCCTAGATAAAAAGGGTTTTTCCAAGTTATGTCCCCAAACTTCTTCGTTTTCTAAGTTGTGCCCATGCTTTTTCAAACGCCTAAATTGTGCCCTCAACCTCACTAATTTTTATTAACAATAACCTTTTACGTTAACAATTGTTATGAAATATCGTGTGGATGACCATTATGCTCCTTATATCATTCCGGAATATTCTAGATATATGGTTTATTCTTATCTAAACATATTTGTGGATGTCCATCTTGTATCACTCTAGAACTTTCTAGAGTTTAGGGTTTATTATTTTCCAAGAAAACTCTATCAATTGTATTGTGTGTGTGTGTGTATATATATATACCTCCATCATATAAAGATAAGTAGAATACACATTTCAATTCCCTCTCAATCTTTTATATTTCTCCTTATTTTACAACACGTTATCAGCACCAAAACTCTAATCAATATGTAAATTTTATTGTTGATTTCTTAGGTTGATGATTAATTCGTTGTATACTGAATGTGCTAAATTATACTCATTATTATTTTGTTGTGTCGCATCTTGGGAAGAAATTAGAAGTTGATTAATCTTGATCATGTGTTTTGATCTTTTAATAATGAAATCACACATTTCAAGAATGTCATATCATTCCCAATCCTCATTAGTTAATTTTGGACTAGTACAAGGAGTCTCTCGGTATTAATAATTTGGTTACAAAGAACTACTCGTATTATTTTTCGGTTGCATTGGTTTGTTTATCTTGAATTATCTTTCTCGTATATCCATAATATAATAGATTAGCCTTAATCAAGGGCTATACTTTATTTTCTTTTCATTGACATTTTCATGAGTTACAGGTTAGCAGATGACGTTGACAACATGAAGTTGACGATAAGGCTGGTTTTTATAGTGGGAAAGGTTTTGATATCAGGAAAGTTCATTCTCAACTATCCTGTTATTGTTAATTTTAAACCTTTACATAATATGTTTATATTGTTTCCCAAATTTTTGTATTTTTATTATTCTTGGAGTTCAATGAGCAATTTGGGAATAGTTGGATTTGATGCAGAAAATAACTAATTAGTAGTTTTGTTTTGACTATGAGTTTTGTTTAGTTTGAATCTAAAGGGGTATTTAGAATTATTATTGGGGTTAATTTTATGAACGTATGGTTTTCATGAACTTGTAGTACATATATTTGCTAGATTTTGGTATTACTTTTCCTATCCGTAAATGAATTTGGTTATTTCTCTATGCTTGATAGCAAATATGAATGGTTTGATTTAGCAATTATTTACTCATATAATTTGTTTGTGAAATCCTATGTCTAATGCCTTGAATGTTTGTAAATTATACGAAGTAAGCCTAAGGCACATGTGAAACTATTTATAATTTATGTATTGAATTATGTTTTTATATTTCAAGTATGATATGAACCATGTGGTTTTCCACTAACGTGAACGTGTTAATTTTGATTATTAATGTGCTTGTTTCTATTTTCTAATTAAGCTTTATCAGGCAATATATTGATATAATTGATCCGACGGTATAGTTGATTCAATCGATTCAGTTATTTTTTTATTAAAGTGTAAAGTAGTAGGTTCTCATATTGTTTTTACCTCCTCATTCTAATTAAAAGGTGTAGATAAATTGACTAATTAATTTGAATTAAGCATGAAAGATTAAGTTTATTTATTTGAAGAGGTGAAGCATATTTGTAAATATATATGTTTATTAATACTATGATCAATTCAGTTTAAGATGAATGTACGAAAGATTAAGTTTATTTATTATGCCCATAAATATAAGAGGTTTCGTTTTTTTAAGATGAATGTAATTGGGCATGAGGAACATGATAAGTGTTCTATAAGTATAATTTTATATAAGCATGTTTTTGCTAAAAGGAACACGTTACTTGATACATGACATTGCCAAAAGAATTTATGGCTTAAAAGCTGCAAGGATTTTAAAGGTTGTTGGACTGATTCATTCCATACCCCTATATGCAAGGATTAGGGGGAGATTGTATGTAATCCTTGCATATAAATAATAGAATATATTGATGGTCAATTTGATACATACAAATGATTTATTTAATAGAAGTCGCCACATGCATATTATTTAAATATTTTTAAATGATATCATCTTGAAGTTGGATATAAATGATTGATCTAATTATAAACGCTCCAATTAAATTATTGTCCCAGAAGGACAATATCGGTTACTAATGAACCTAAAGCACGTCTGAAGCGTTGCAGTCCAATAGAGTTAAAATATAAGAACTTTTGGAAAAGGAATGGAGTATATATTGAAAATGATGACAAATTTGAGGAAATGATAAATCTCATTACATTTCTAGAATAAAATCACTTTTAGTAAGATTCATATGTTCAATGATTATGTAAAAGACTCCAGAAGAGTATGAAATGTCCAACAGATTAACATGTATCAAGATTATAGTCAACACTCCAGCAGAGTAAGTTTAATTTTCATAAAAATTAAAAATATAAGTAATTATTAGATAAAATATTCATTAGTTGATTGTCTTGCCAATTGTATAAAGAAACACATGTTGGTGTTTTAATATCACATCACATTCATAGCCATGCATATAGTAAGTTTAATAAAGTGATTACTAGTGTTGAAAACTGATCAGAGTTCAAATTTAGAGAAGTGAATTGGATGTGATAATTAAATTAGGCTATCCGGGTTTAATAATAATTACCCATAATGGAAACCTGAAGTTTCATTTGATAATGTGTTGACGCTTTCTCAATGTCAAATATATAAAATGAATTGAATGGCAAGACGTAACATTGAGATTGAGTTATATTTGGATTGTGAGTTATAATAATTTGTATTGATGAAAATTTCAAGATTTAATATGTTTTGAGTTTTTTATATATAAAGGAGTAATGGCTGACCAGAAGTTCACCAAAATAACTTATATATTATAATCAACTATTAAGTGATCAGAAGCTCACCAAATATACTATTTAAGTCTTTAAAGATCCCGAAAATCATCACCTACTAGAATTACGAGCAAGTGATTTATGCTTGTATAACAATTTTTTTGATTGGGGCTATTATATGTCAGCACATATGAAATAGGAGAAGAAAGAAAAACGTACAACTGCACAACATATGTCTCCCCATTGACATTGATTTCCAGAAGAGAAAATATTATTGAAAATTTAATAATAAATACACATAAAATAAGATAATGAATAAATGATTCTTCATTGAAATTGTTCTCTAGAAGAGATAAATAATTTTGATTGTGATCCTCCCAATAAACCTTTTAAACCCAACTAAATTATATATATATATATATATATATATATATATATATATATATATATATATATATATATATATATATATATATATATATATATATATATATATATATATATATAGGGGAGGGATCCGGTGAGAATAGATTCATATGTGAGAATTCATACTTATATGAGAATTGATTTTAAATTTAGAACATGTGAGTAAAAGTTTAGAACATACGAATAAAAATTTAGAAGATGTGTCTGAAATTAAAATTTAGAACATCTGAGTAATAATTTAGAACATCTATGTGAGTAATATGTTTAGAACATTTGATTTAGGAATTAGAACAAGTGATTAAAAATTTATAAAATATGCTTTATGAAATTTTAAACATATGAGTAAAATTTAGAAAATCTGATTTAAGATTATGAACATGTGAATAAAAATTTAGAACAAACTGATATAGAATATAGAAAGTGTGAGTAAAAAATTTAGAACATATGAGTAAAAAATAGAACATACGCTTTAAAATCTGGAACATATAATTAAAAATCTTAGAACACACATTTTAAAATTTAGAACATATAAGTTAAAATTTTGGAACAAGTTATTTAAAATTTATGATATTAAATTTAACTAATTTATGGTTTAGAACATGTGAGTACTAAATTAAAACATTTGATTTAATTTAGAACACCTAAGGAAACGTTTAGAACATTAGATTTAAAATTTAGAACATACGAGTAAAAATTTAGAACAAAAAGAGTGTTCTCACATAAGAAAAATTCTCACGAGAGCCTCCTCCTATATATATATATATATATATATATATATATATATAAGTAGAATACACATTTCAATTCCCTCTCGATCTTTTATATTTCTCGTTATTTTATAACAACAATAACTTTATTTTTTTTTATTTTCTGATTTTTAAATTTCTTTTAAAAGTATTAAACCAATTAAAACCGGACACATATCAAATTAATTAACAGGACACCATTGTTGAGAAAAAAATTTAACTTTCGTTAACGGATATTACTAAGTATTTGTAAAATATTGTGAGGTGAAGGGTATAGTTTTTAATTTTGAAAAAGCATCAGGGATAGCTTAGAAACACCAAAACTCAAACATCTTCAAAGATTTAAAGTAAACGAAGCAGACGACGAGACTCTGTTCTTCCAATTTCTTGCGAAGAAGAAAAAAGATGGAGAAACGAACAATATACCTTTGGGTGATTGCAGTTCTAACCTTCGTTGTGTTGATGATCGTTACTCCTACGATTCCTCAATCTCAAGAGTACCACAACTTTGCTGATCAGCGTCAATTTTTGGGTCAGTCTTAATTACTTTGATTTTGTATGAATTTTAATTTAAATCATCTAATCAAACTTGCTTCATCCTAGGTTTTGAATTTATTTTAGGGGTGAACTTAAAATTGCATAATTTATGCTATTATTATGTCTATTTAAGAATTTAATTTGTCTATTACTGTGATTCTGTAGTGTTAAATTGTGATTATTTTCCTGAACTATTAAATTTCTTGGTTTAATCAATTGCTCTAATTAGAGCGAAATCTAATAACTGACATCACCTATTTCAGTTTAGTTAATTGGGTTGTGTAGAGCTGTTGGAATCAAGAAGAGGGTAATGAACATTTTAGTGGGTCAGTTGGTTTTAATTTGCATGTATCTTCCAATAATTGCATCTACTTAATTGTCAGTTTGGTCATTAGAATGGTTCTATCGTGTAATACTCCGTATTATGGTTTTTGTTGTCGAATGAATACTGATGAATATCTCGATTTAGTCAGTCAGGGAGGTTGAAGTAGGTTCAATGACTGGTGTTGATAATAACAGTATAGTGAAATGGATAGTGTAAAGATGTGGGGACATGAACCCGTGAAGGCAGAGGAATTTAGGCTGAATTGCTTTGATTTTGTGTTTTTGGGGTATATGTTTAGAAGTTTAAGAATGTGTATGGATGTTATGTCGGCAAAAATTAGATTATAAGGTATATGTATTTTTCCTTTCGTTGAATTTTTTGTTATGGTACAGAGAGACAGGCCAACTTATGAGGAATTGAAGATGACAAAATTTCAATTTCTCTGTTTTTAGTAGTCACATTTACGGATTGCACTATTAACATGATCATTGATTTTTGATAGAAGAAATACAAAATGAGCAAGTTGCGTTAGCTGGAGAATTGCTCGTACAATCTTAGAAACCCTTTTTGTATTACACAAATGAGCATATAAGCCAAGTTGTCCTGTTAGAATCATTGTTTATCTTATAGTTCTCAAGCCCTTGGAAATGTATCTTTGTGGGACTTGAGATAAATATGGATTTAGAAGGAGTAATTAATTAAATAGAAAGTTTTTAAGATGTAAGGATTTGCCAGTTGATACATTCCTTCTTTCTCATCAATAGTTCGGTTTGGTACGTGGTAATTGGGTTATTGTTGTTGGTATGTTATTAATGATGTAATCTATATCTTTGCTTCTCTCAACCTTAACATGCTTGTGTGTGCGTGCTTGTTAATTTGTGTTCTTGAGACCCAAAAGATACCTGCACTCGGATCATTACAACTTTCATGAAATTACATGACACTGACTTCTTTTACCTGTTTCAAGGTTTAACTAAGTCAAGCTAAAAGATATATATCTGTTGTATATTAGGCACAACCTGCAATAAAACAAACAAGTGTAATAGAACACTTCTTGGCAATAACTAAATTAATGATCTTATTATTAGGATTTATATACTAGCCAAGTTTGCTTTAATGTTGTTAAAAAATGCAATTTTGGTTAAACGATTGTAAGGATCATCTTTCTCCTTTGCTTGTCGAAAATTCATGATCTTATTATTAGGATTTATGTACTAGCCAAGTTTGCTTCATTGTTGTTAAAAAATGCAATATTGGTTAAACGATTATAAGGATCATCTTTCTCCTTTTCTTGTTGTCATTTTTACTTTTTCACATTTTGTGATGATGTTTATGTTTTTCATCTCAGATTCAGGGCTTCTATTATTACTTTATTATGAAATTAAACTTTTTCGGAGTACTTTCAGGAATCCCCAATATGCTCAATGTCATTTCCAATGTCCCTTTTCCTGTTACTGGCATTATAGGGCTGATACTTTGTCACTGTGGAAATTATTTTAAATTGAGGTACTTGAATGTGGCTTCTATCATGTACTTTTATTTTCTTTTATCTTGTGCTTTAAAGCTGTATTGCTACCAGATGTGTATGAAGTCTTTTTTTTTTTTTTTTTTTTTTTTTTAAAGCTTGCAAGGTGAAGTTTGGGGTTGGACCTTTTTCTACATTGGTGTTGCAGCTGTTGGTTTTGGTTCATCTTACTATCATCTCCAACCAGATGATGCTCGACTGGTGTGGGATCGCTTGCCGGTGAGTTTTTTGTTTGATAATCTAGCATGCTATTATCTATCCATATGGTACTTTTGAGATTACTAGTATGCTCGGCCACGCACAATGCGCTCCGTGTTAGTTTTCCCTTCGGTGTGTGGATGCGTATTGGTTGATTGTTTGGTATGAAACTGCAGTTGTAATTGTACATATTTGTGTGGAAAATGTGTTTTGCAATTTGTAATGTGAATTCTGGAAAATTAATGAAACTGGTGTTAAAACAGGATAAAATGAGCCAATAGTTAATGTTATGGTCCAAATGGCTATCTAAGTCCAATTTACATCTACAAAGACAATGGATAAGTTTAATTAAATACAATCGGTCCAAATCTGTGAAACCCGAGTTAAGAGAAATAAACCCTTTCTGTGTATAGAATAAGAAAACATAACTACATGCATAATTGAGAGTTATTAAAAATCTAACTGCAAAACAGATTCATTTTAACAACATATAACTTCATTTATATAGTGTTCTGTTCTAGTGAGACCTCATTAGAGACTTGGGAGTACTTATTAAACTAATTGAGCTATTTTTCTCATCATTTTTTTACTGTTAGTTGATTTAATCACTCAGACTCCAATCAGTTTGGAGAGGGAATATAATCTAACATGTTTAGACACGGGTTAAGAAGATAAGAAGAGCTACCCACATTCAATTTTCCCCTAAAATAAATTTTAATACATTTAGATAAGTTTAATTCAATTCAAACAAGTCGTGATAATTTTATGTAAATACTAATTATGAGTAAATATTAAACTTTTGGTTTAGTTAAGTTCAAACAATATCATCTTCCAAGTAATTTGAATCAAAGCATTATCTATCGCCATCAATTGTGAGCTTCAGACTACTCCAACTAGGGCCTTCATCTACTGTTGGTGCTTTTGCTACTCAATTTCCTAATTTCCTCACTTCAGTAAGGGGCTATTTGGTTCGCCCAAGGGAATCAGAATGGAATAAAGAAAGGTAATCAAAGAGAATGGAATGAAACCCATTCTTTTTAACATGTTGTTTGTTTTCATAAAAAACACCCAAGAATCACACCACCACAGCACCACCACAATACAACCGCAACACCTCCAATTTCAACAGTTATAGCTACCTACAGCCTAGCCGCCGCCCCTCTCACTGTCACCGCCCCTCCCGTCCTCGAAAAACCACCCCTCCCAATTTCCCATCACGCAAAAACCCTAAAAAATCCTCCTTCTCCCCTCAAAACCGTCGGTCGCCATTACCCCCACCCTCGAAACCCTAGCTACTTGGGTTAGGGTTGCGAGGGTGGGGGCAACGGAGGTCGACGGTTTTGAGGGGAGAGGGAGGGTTTTTGCGTGATGGGAGATTGGGAGGGGGTGGTTTTTCGAGAACGGGAAGGGCGGCGAGGGTCAAGGCAAGGGAGGGGTGGAGAAGGACCGACGATTTATGGCGACCATGGGGTGGAGGAATGACGATCTACGTGCGACCAAAGGCAGCGACTGATGAGGAAGGAGCAAGGTGGTCGAGGGAGATCGGTCATTGGGCGGTGACTAATGAGGAGGGGCGACGGCGACGTCGGAGCAGCGATGACTGGGGAGAGGCAGCAAAGTGGCTGGATGGTGGGGTAGGGCAGCAAGGTGGTGGTTGGTGTGAGGTTGGTGGTGTAGTGGGGATGAGGGGAATGGGAATGGAAAGGGGGGGGGTGGGGAATGAGTGTAGAGGGAAAATGGGTGAACCCAAAAATAAAAAGGGGTAAAGGGAATGGGAAAATGTGGCAAACAAACAATAACAAAGGGAATGAAACCCTCTCATTTCCATTCCCTTTGTTTATTACCCCCAACCAAACGCCCCCTAAATGAAAATCTTTATCACCAATTTACCATTTTACAAAATTCCCTGCACAAGTCAATAAAAATAGCTTAAATCATTTTTGTAAAATGTTTGGTAAGACCATGAGAATAATTGTCATAGTTCACTTACTGCCACGGATCATTCTCTAAGCATCATATCACCTTCACCATTGGTGAATATTTTTGGTTATAATTAAACTTTCACTAAAGATTAAGAATACTATACCCATTTTCTCAAGAGAATATGTATGCCAAGAATTTAAAGCTAAAATCAGACCAACGCTAAAAAAAGAAGGCAATGAAAAGAAATTTAGAAGTAAATTGATTTTTTAATCAATAAAATAATAAAATTAAAAAAAAAAAGGAAAATGGTGGGTACCTGGGATAATTCAATGGGCTACTTGTTGGCAAAAATAGGGATTTGATCGCCCACAATGTAGTAGTGATTGAGGGAAGAAACAAGAGGAAAAACCCAGTAAATAATTACTACCTCCATTTCTTATTACTTGCAACAAAGGAATATTTGTATATCACAAATAATACCTCTCTTTGTTGCAAATAATAAGAAACCAAGGTAGTAATATAAATAGCAACAAATTTGAAATCTTTGACATGGCTAATTTGCTGCTTCGATCTTACTGATTTGGGGGTAATAGTAGAATGATGTTCATAGAAATAAATTTTAGCTGATTGTAGCTCAAATGTGTCAAGATTTCACACTATTGAAAATCCTACTCTCTTTTTCAAATTAATCTGATTTACCATTGAAAAAAGAGAAAGCATCTATAAAAAATTTAAAGATGACTTACTAAGCAATGATGATGGAAAAGGAATATAAATATAAGAGATCAATAGAGTTATACCTTTTGACAATTTTATTAATGTTCTCGATTTCAGTATGCTTGATCTCTGTCCTCTGTATTCCCATTTCACTTGATCTGGTGATTCCACTATCTCTCTCTCTCTCTCCTTCCAGTTTGACTCAGAAGCTCTAGTTCCTGCCTATCATTGTGTTACGTTTGATTCCACGACGACGATGGTGAATCTGAAGTTCAAAACCCCCAGATAATCGCTCCACTATAAATTTCTATCAGTTAGAGTAACTACCCCTAATAGCTGAATAATCCACCATATTAGAACCCTAAATTGTCCATGCTACCAATTAATTTAACAGTAGTGTGAAATCGAACTCCCAAATGAAATTCATGTTCGATAATAAAACCCCCCAAAAAAAAAAAGCTCAACAGCAGGCTTCAATGGAGGAGAAAGAGCAAAACATGGAGAGTTCAAATTTTCAATGATGGTGATGAAATAGGAGGAAAGAGAAGAAAGAGGGAGGGTTAGGCAGATAATCTCACTGAAAAGAAAGGGGTAAGAGGAGGAGTGGAGGAGATGAAATTGTGGTTGTGGTGAGTACTCAGCAAACAAAAGTAGATGATGGAAGGAAGAGGCAAAAATGTATTTGTATTTTTTTAGGCGTATTTTCGTCCGAACACCGTAGATAAGGAATTTTGGGCAAAGTTGTGGTTTTTTAAGATTCATAAATTATTGATTGTGCTCCATTTATCCTTTCTGACTTATTCATTACCTGAATCTTAAATTCTGATGCAACTAGAGGATGCTTACATATTACGTTGAAATTAATAATACTGAGCATATGTTTCATGTTTGCATACAGATGACTATTGCATTCACGTCACTTGTTGCAATTTTTATTATGGAGAGGATTGATGAGCAGAAGGGTACTGCATCTATTATACCTTTGCTTCTAGCAGGCATTATAAGCATACTGTATTGGCGGTGAGACCTCTTTTATTTTATTTTTTTCCTTCTGTTTTTCCAAATTAATTGATTCTGTTTTTGTGTTTTTAAGTTTTTCAACGTCAATGTTGAAATGAAGGTTAAGAGACACATTAATGGTTTGTGTACGCAAGTCAACTAGGAAACAACTCTGGCAAAAAAAGGAGGGATTCCCCCCCCCCCCCAACAACACCTTTTTCCATCTTCATTGATAATTGTAACTGAACCTTAAAAAAAAAAAAAAAAAAAATTCTAGCTTCGCCCAAGGAGAAAATGGTTATGTTAAGTAGTATTATAGAGTTTTATAATGATTCTTTTTAAGCCTTAAATGTTGGATAGAGCTAACTGATCCATCATTCCTTCATTGTTTTGATGAAAAAGAATCTTTTTTTTTATCTGCTGTAGATGTGGCTTCAGTTAATATGGTAGAAGTTTGCAAATGTCTAATCCTACTTTACTCACACCTCCTGTACAGGTTTTTTGATGATCTTCGTCCTTATGCAGTTGTGCAGTTTGTGCCTTGCATAGCCTTGCCCTTGATGGCCATTCTATTGCCTCCCATGTACACACATTCCACTTACTGGCTTTGGGCTGCAGGTTTGTGGTATTGATCACGATGCTTTTAATTTTGTAGAGATTATATCAAGATCTATATCCTGCTTTACTTTTGCTTTTCTTTTCTATGTGCAGCTTTCTATCTACTTGCAAAGATATTAGAAGCTGAAGATAAACCTGTTTATGAGTTGACTCATCATGTTGTCAGTGGACACAGTCTGAAGCATTTATCTGCAGCTGTTGTTCCAGTGTTCCTGACACTCATGCTTGCAAAAAGAACCATTGAAACAGAGAGGTATTTTTGCGTTCTTTCAGCTGATACAAGCAGCTATCCTCTATTATCCTTTTCTTTATCATTATTTGAAGGGGGACAAACTAGTGTTGGCCAGTTCATTTTATCGATTTATACAAGCTATATTGCTTGTGAATACACCTTTAAAACTGTACAAGTCTATGGAGGAGGGAAATGCAATACAAAGTTGTTTGGTCTCCTGCTTGGTATACTAGCAGTTTTAGTAGCCGGTAGCTGTTAAATTAACCATTAGTTTTCAGATGAATTTTGTAGCTGTTGAAATGTGGAATGATAAATGTGTGAATGCTAGCTTTAAGCTGTGAAAATTTCCTTTGTTGGGCATGTTCAACAATATTAGTTGCTGTAGTAGCTTGTAGCTTTGTGAGTAAATATTAGCTTTGAGAGTAGATGTCAGCAATAAACTAGTAGTTATTAGATATTTCTAAACATTATTATTTGGATTAAGTAGTGTTTAGACATGTTGCTGAACACATACTACTTACTATGACTACTAGGTCTACAACTACTTGTGTGACTAAGCTCTGTTCAAAGAGTATTAATTAATAAGTACATTAATTTTTTATTGTGAGCTCTAATTTATTTTTATATTTTTTTCACATTTTAGCTATGATATTTAGATACATAATGTTAAACCATTCCCTTCCCTTGAAAAGTTGGAAAACAGAAAATTAAATCAGGTTATAACCTATTATTGATGAATTGAGATAGCCTTGGACCTCACCATAGTTGTCCGTCACTCCGTCAATGCACTCTATAGTTCCCTTAGCTAAATGTTCTCTTGCCTTAGCTTTTATAGTAGAATAAAAGTCAATTAGACATAAACTCTAATCCCTGATTGATAATCAGGAAAAGGTGCACAATCTATACTACCATAAGAAAAATAAACAATAAAATAAAAATTTAACAACCATGGGAAAACTTTATGAGCATCAGCTAGACAATTATACTTCCTGCTGGTTTATTTTTTGCACTACTGTTGTAACCATATAATTTGTAAAACATGAAGAGATTATTAAAATTCTTGAATGAAAAAGGCAATGAACAAACAGATCAAGGATGAAAACTACATGAACATTGCTTTCTTGATGTTATCCCCCAATTCAGATTACCCCATTACAAGAGTCTGCAAGGCCATTCACTTCTATGCTTGTGTTCTAGTGCTCTTCTCGTACATGTCAACACTATGGATTTTAAGTGAATTTTCTGCCCACAGAAGATGAGAGCAGGTTTTTCTTATTTTATTTTATTTTATTTTTTATTTATAATAATCTGATTATCTTTAACCATTGAAACATTTAATGCGTCAAAAAAAAAAAAAAAAAAAAAACATTGAAACATATATATGAGACATTTTTTTTATGGGCAATCAGTTGCCTGTGAACAGGTTAGCTCATGGGTTCTTTGATAGATCCTCTTCTCTGATACTCATGAGTCATGACTGCCCATCACATGCTTTCATAAAAATCCCCTTTGCCCGTCTCCCTACCCCTCATTCTCCAACATTCTTGAGACGTGGCACTGCAGTCGTGCAACACGGAAGCCTTTTAGGTTGTTGTTGGGTAGAGATTGTTGTTTGAGGTATTTTTCCTGAAATTGAGGTTGAGCAACACTTGTCCCCTGTCCCCAATAATTAGTGTTCTTTAAGCCATCTGTGAAGAAGCTGTGCAAAATTGCAACTTCACTCTTATCAGGAGAGTTTTTATCTGTCTACATTGATAATTCTACTAGCTGTTTGTTTCAGTAGCATCTGCTTTCTTATGTGAATTTGTTGTAATTTTACAATGTAGGGTGAGTTTGTTCATGGTATGGAGAAGTTCATGGACTAAAGTAAGTAAAGACGAGATCAGAGTACAGAGTTCTGAATACCATGTAGTTTCAAATCAAGAATGATACTGGATTTGTTCATTATTGGATATCAGCATCTGAATGCAAAGTGATGCAGAACAGGTCAACAGGTACTGCTTAATTCTATGGTGAATAAGGCTAATTGGTGATGTCTCTTCTTTTCATCCATTCTATGTAATCTCTGTCTTGTTTCTTTGCTCTTGGCCTGTAAAACTGTACTGTAAAATGTAAACAGAAGTCTTTCATATAAAATGTAAACAGAAGTGCTATTGTGCTTGTCGAATGTCCTATGATTATGCCAAAGATCGAAGATGATTGAACTTTTTATTAAGCCCGTTCCAATGTATTATTTTAGATGTTAATGGGATAGAAAAACATAAGGTCGTAGATAAAGGACACATAATTAGCACATAAAGATAGTACTGAGCAGTGAGCAGCATCCTCAACACAGCCAGCATCTTTCAGGGCATTACAAAAATATGGAATTCAAGAACAATCATATAGGACAAAGGAAAAAAAAAAAAAAAGGTAACACAGCAACAATGAAAACCGATCGTGACACCAGGTTCGAGAATGAGCAACACGACTACACAGGAATGCAATGGCAGTAGCAGGCAAAGGATGAGTAGGATAAGGCATTCCCCTGAATAAAACTTTATAGTCCACCAGAAAGCAGCACCAGGTTCAGGATATAAACAATAACGTTTGATTGATCAGTTGAGCCACAACAGGATAATATCATAATCAACAAAGTTAATTCTTCCAAATTAATCAATCACACTTGCCAAAATCAAGCACTAACTTAGCATATGATAGACTTATAGCCCTACTACTCCATCTATCATTATGCTACATCATCACTATTCAATTAACTTGCATCTGAGATTCGAACACCCAACCTCTTATTAAAAAGATGGTTATTTTACCATCTAATCAAACTATCAACTATGTTATAAATATGAAAATAAATATATACAATTGATAATTACAAGGTCGGGCTACGCACTAATTATTGCAATAAATTATTGCTGAACTTTTCTCCTATTACTCAATGCTTTGCCAAATATTGTTTATAGTATTGAATAAAAACTTCAATGACAGCGCTCATTAGGTTCAAAATTCAGAGTACCAAGCCCCAACTATTCTGTTATGCGTTTGCCTAGCTAATAGACTTTGAATTGGTGCGAGGGAAGTTTTTGCATTGACGTCTCCATCTAATAGCTTTTTGCTGACGGAAACTCCCTTATTGATTATGAATTTCAATGTGATCCTGCCTTTTCAGCTTCTCAATAGTGGCTAAGTAAGGCATCTCCATGGTGTTGATATACAGCTTTATGTGCAGCAAGCACACCATGCAAAACCTTATTGCTAACCCTACTAAGTTGGAATTTGATTTTGTGAGTTAGTAATAATATGATTACAAAAAGCACAAGAATACTGTCGATTCAAAAACTCATGCTCATTAATTACAAAAGATACTAGCTTTGACTCCATTACTATAGGCCTATGCAAAGATTTACACTCTATAATCATGACTGCTTTCCGATACAGTTGGTTTACTCCTTAACCCACCAATAGCTAGAGTTATGAATAAGTGGATATCTCAGTTATATGAATAAATCTTTTATCAAAGTAGCTCTTTTATTACCCGTTTTTTTTTTGTTTTGTTTTTTTTTTTAAATGGTTGTTATGAAATATTTGTTGATATCCATTATCAACCTTGTATCATTCCGAAATATTATAGATGTAGGGTTTATATTCTTATATAACCAAACCCTAATTTTATTGTAGGTAAATATGTATATATCATCTTATGGAATGAAGATAGACACATTAATTCTCTATCCATCTCTCAAAATTTTCCTATTTTCATAATACGTTATCAACAACAATCTAGCCAATTGAGCAAGCTGACTATGCAAACAAACAAAAGAAATCAATAGCACGTTACGTTTGTTTTGCTAAAATTGTACAATTACATAGTACAAAGATCTATCATTAAAACGTAATTTCTGAAATAATTACAGGTTAGGTTCTTTTATTTTATTGTTTTTGAATAAATTCCTAATGTAACTTTCTGTTTGATTTTAAATTTTTTCGATTAAATAAGCTATGTTTGTGTCGAATTGGATGAATTTATGCTTTCATTAAGCTACTGGTTAATCTATATTAAGCAAATTATTTATATGAAATAGTAGTAAACAAATTAAAGAAAATAGAATATTAGTATTCGATTGTTGATGAATGTTTAAGCATCGAGGGATTCTTGCATCAACAATAATCCATTAGATGCTATAAACTTGAATAATGAATTATCTGCAAGTTTCGTAATAAATGTTTGAAGCAATTCAAGAAAGGTCATGAAGTTCTTTATAATTCTGATAGAATTTATGGATTGTGCTATCTGAATGTTTCGTCAAGCTAAGATCCCATTATTTAGCTATTATTGTGTGATGTGTCAGTACTAATTTGTATAGTTAATATTTTTAACACAAACTTTTAAATAAAAGGGATGTTTAGTAAATTACTGAACATCCGTTATGAAGTGACAATAAAATGTGCAAAAGTTACACTAAAACGCACAAAAGTTACCGTGACATATATAAGAGTTATTTATGCTTTATTGATAAATTTGACAAAAGTGACACTAAATTTGACAAAAGTGACACTAAATCTGACAAAAGTGTACCCGACGTACAGTAAATTACTGAAAACCAGGTGTATACAAAAGTTTTCCTATTTTTAATTTGTTTGAATTGCTTTGATTTAATTCATATGCTTACATGGCTAATGGTTTGCATAATTGTCATATATGGGGAAGTATTGATCTGATTCTGTATGGTGATGCAGCATATTATTGAATTCATTGTCTTTGATCAAATGATTATATTATGTATGATTTCTGAGATTAGTGATTTACTCATCAGATTGCATATGTATTTAATTGATACACTTATTTTGTTAGTTCTTAGCTGTGAGGTCACACTAGTAATACCTATGGGAATTTTACTCCTAATAAGTCTAAGAGCTACAATATATTATTATGTGCAATAATTGTATTCCGTACTACTTATAAATCTTTCTATTTGGCCTGACTTATTATATCAAAATATAAAATATATTTGTTTGATTTGATTGATGAATAGAATATACTGATATTATAAACAGATACAAAGCTTTTTTGGTGCACAGGCCTGTTGCCAAGTCAGTAAAAATAATGGATTCTGACGCGCGCATAACGGGGTTACTGTTCATGCGCATAACGGGGTTACTGGTTTTGTCAGGGTTATTTGTATTTTTCAGGGGTTACTTGTTTTTTTTTTTCAAGAGTTACTTGTAATTTTTTTTTTTCAGGAGTTACTTGTATTTTTTTTTCAAGAGTTACTTGTATTTTTTTTTCAGGAGTTACTTGTATTTTTTTTCAGGAGTTACTTGTATTTTTTTTCAGGAGTTACTTGTATTTTTTTTTTCAGGGATTAATTGTATGGATTAGTTATTCAAGGGTTACTTGTATTTTTTTTTTTTCAGGAGTTACTTATATTTTTTTTTCAAGGGTACTTTTTTTTTTTTTTATAATTTTTTTAGGGGTTACTTTTATGGGTTAATTCAAGGGTTACTTGTATGAGTTACTTATTCAAGGGTTACTTATTCAAGGGTTACTTATATGAGTTATTTCAAAGGTTACTTGTATGAATTACTTATTCAATGGTTGATTGTAGGTTGGTTTCAAAAAAAAAAAAAAAGGTTGTTTGTAGGCCCCATACCAAACCAGTAACACCCTACAAGTAACCCCCGACCAAAACCAGTAACACCCTACAAGTAACCCCCGACCAAAACAAGTAACACCCTATAAGTAACCCCTGACCAAACCAGTAACACCCTACAAGTAACCCTTGATCAAAACCAGTAACACCCTACAAGTAACCCCTGACCATACCAGTAACATCCTACAAGTAACCTAACCCCTGACCAAAACCAGTAACACCCTACAAGTATCCCCTGACCAAAATCAGTAACACCCTACAAGTAACCCCTGACCAAACCAGTAACACCCTACATGTAACCCCTGACCAAACCAGTAACACCCTATAAGTAACCCCTGACCAAACTAGTAACACCCTACAATTTTTGACGTAGAATGTTCGATTTGAGATTCCACAAAGAAAGAGCTCAAATTTCTTTGGTTCTCATCGATTTCACTACTTTAAATATTGTTCATGAATAATTTGACACCCAATTTCTACAATTTCGGGCTTTAATTGTAGCAATTTAGCAAAGAGGAGAGAGAAAATAAGTAGAGTAGAGATATGGTTGTTAGTGATGTGTGGTTTGGCTTGAAGAAGAAGCTAAGAAAAGAGGAGAGAGAAAATGGGTGGAGTAGAGATATGGTTGTTGGTGATGTGTGATTTGGCTTGGAGGAGAAGCTAAGAAAAAAAAAGAGAGAGAAGAGTTGTAGTATTTTTATAAAAAAGTAAAAAATAAAAATTGTGGCCAGCCACATACAAAAATTTGTGAAACAAATAATATTTTCATATATTCTCGTATATTTGATGAACTATCGTTTTGGTAGGATATCTATTATTAGGTATATCTTTTATTAAGAAACGAACAACCTTGGTGAGCAAGGCTTTTGTTTTCTTCCGATCCTTGTATAAATATTGTGTCTGTACATAAAAAAACTCAGAACATTGTGCGTATTAATGTGCTCGTGTTTTATTTGACTCCAATAATTTCATCTATACTTCATGACTTCATAGCATAAATTTATATTTTAGCAATTGTTTCGTAGGATAAATTACTTTGTAGCACAAATTCCTATTTTGAATTAATGGATAGTAAAACTTCTCTATTTTTATTGTTTTATAGTAATGATTAATTGAATCAAACCAAAAAGGCTTGTTAAACAACGACAACTTTCATTGATTTATAACTATAAGATCATAATTTAGGATATATGAGTTACTATTGCAGGACTAGTTGTTACTTCGTATTATTTCTAACTATTCTTCCATAGGAGTTTTTTTTTTTTGTATAGCATTATACCTTAAGTGAATGAAGATGTAAATGAGGAATGATTACTTCCATACTAGTTAACATATGCTTTTGTTACATAATTATGACATGTGCCAAGTTGTATTATTATGTTATATTGCCTTATTAGGAAAAATGGAAACTAAAAATCCAACCTTTGCACGATCTGAATCCAACCTTTAATTAATCTCATAAAAATCCAACCTTTATACCCCACCTTCTCCCACAGATCCATTTGACCTTGAACCTGTTAAACAGGTTAATTTTTTTTCCCCCTTCCTTCTTCCTCCTTCCTC